TATACACGTTTGGATCAGTGAGTTGGCTTTTCTATCAAACTGTCAATCATTCATGTTGACGCCATCTATACACGTTTGGATCAGTGAGTTGGCTTTTCTATCAAACTTTCTCAGTCAGATATCACGAAGGAAAGTTCCGAAAGCGATTGCAAAGAGTTTGAGTACATCCAGTAGAATGAGCTGTTTGATTGACGCATAGCTCTATGATTGACGGCAGTCTATTGCAAACTATACGACGCGATTTGTGTCTGGGGTGCTCGCGTATTAATGCAACAAGCTTAATCTCGTCAAGCTCTCTTTTTATTAATATCAATTTGTTGTCAAGCGCTAAGGCAACGATAAACTACACTTTTCTTCCTGTTTATGTTTGTAACGATCTTAAATTTGATAAAATACTGACATATTGAAAAGAATTAGTAATGATAGATCAAAACTTCTTCGTAATGCCTAACATTTCGAGCTTACATGTTAACAATTTATTTGCTATTTTGTTTCAAAAGACATTGATGAATGTTCGGAGAAGAACAAATGCGGTGCCCATTCGAGCTGCAAGAATATCGAGGGGTCATTTACCTGCACGTGTGACAATGGATACACCAGTCAAAATGGAAGGAATTGCTTAGGTAAAATTGACTTACTTTCCCTGGTGTCCATATATATTATATTCTTTCTTTTCAAAAAACATTGTTTTGTCTTCCAGACATCGATGAATGCACCACTGGCAAAGCTGACTGTCATCGCAACGCTGTTTGTAAAAATCTCCCAGGATCCTTTACGTGCTTCTGTCCCGAGGGATTTACCGGCAAAGGTGATGCGATTGATGGATGTACAGGTAAAGAAAATCGTAGATTATTATTGCTTTAATTTTTGAATTTACTGCGGACCTTCTTTTGACCCAGCATGTATTATTAATATAGGGCCAGACAAACTCACAGATCAAACTCTGAAACAACCTCTGGGCTGATCTAAGTCTGGGCATGACTAACTCACAGATTGAACCCTGAAACAACCTYTGGGCTGATCTAAGTCAGGGCATGGCTAACTCACAGATCAAACCCTGAAACAACCTTTGGGCCGATCTAAGTCAGGGCATGACTAACTAATAGATTGAACTAACCATGAAACAACCTCTTGGCTGCTCTGATGTCAGGGTTTGTACGGCTAACTCACAAATCGCTGATCAGGGCACGCCGCTAACTCATAGATCGAATTGGAATTTAGCAGGTTTCGTGGAGGGAGGGAATTGAAACCAAAAAAAATGGCATAAAAATGTGAATGCTTCCTGTCTGTTCTTACTAAAATGCAACTGCTCTTGACGCGTTCATGCATTTATTTTCTTTAGCCCTGTCGTGGTGTGAGTGGAAGGGACATGACAAATGTAATAAAGAGTTTCGTCATTGTGATAATACTGTAAGGAGATGCACAGGATGTAAGCCAGGCTACGAAGAAAACAATGGCGTATGTCAAGGTATAAACCAATCAACATTATTTTGAGAGGTACTTGACACTAAACATTAAACATTGCGACTTTGATTTAAGATATAGATCTAACACGACCTTCTCCCGTAAAGCCTCAGTGGCCGAGCGGTTGAGATCTCGTCTAGCAAACGAGAGAACTCAACTAGCTGAGGCAGATTTTTTAATCTGCTTATACACTCGATGTGGCATACACTTTACATATTGATAAACGTGTTGCCCTCCATATTTAACGAGTCTCTTCCGGAGTACCATTTTGCTCTCAGCTTTTATATATTATATTTTGAACCCCACAATGACTTTAAAGCTGAGTTTACTTTTGCCGTATAAAGTTGGTCAATATCTTTATTCTAGATGTGAACGAGTGTAAGAAAAACCCATGTAGCAAAGGTGCCGCGTGTGTGAATACCGCTGGCTCGTTCAAGTGTCATTGCCAGAAAGGATATCTTTTTAACAGCAAGACACAAAACTGTCAAGGTATGATTACAAGAAAAAAATTTAGAATAAAATAGACCAATATAATCCAATTCCAATGTTTTTATGAGGAATTTTATGTGATGATATGGCGTGTGCTATCAATACGTACGCTTCCGTAGTGGTTCGATGAGCAGCCTAATGTTTTTCACCACTTTCACTTTTACCAAGCATGTGATTATATTGCACCTTAGCCTCCTCCTCGGGCGTTTATTTGCTCTTTTTTTTCATTTCTCTCTCTTTTCTTTTACTGGGCTTCCTGTTTTAACTGAGAGTTTCCTCGTTTTCACCACAGGTTACCCATCCCTCTCGACCCGCAACATAAACCTTAGCGAGTAGTCTGCGGAGGGGACTAATACCATCTTAAAATTTTATTTTTGTTTGCTTACGACTGGTTGTAGATGTCGACGAGTGCAGCTCCACCAAACGTCACTGTCATTTTGATGCCGTGTGTGAGAATACTCCTGGCTCTTATAGCTGTAAATGTAAGAAAGGATTTGATGGAGATGGCTTTTCCTGTGCTGGTGAGTTGCTCCACTCCACTCCACTCCACTCCACTCCACTCCACTCCACTCCACTCCACTCCACACTCCACACTCCACACTCCACACTCCACACTCCACACTCCACACTCCACACCACTCCATTCAATACACAACCCAACTTAAACCAATTCTAAAAAAAGTTCTATAAAGTTTCCACTTGTCTTTCTTAATTCAGACACCAATGAATGCTACAACGGTGACTACAAATGTCCCCAGAACTCGGCCTGTTCCAACACCCTTGGATCTTACAAATGTACATGTAAAATGGGATTTCATCAATCTAAAGACAAGTGCAAGAAGGACGTCCTTCCTCAACCACCCACTCCAAAGAAGGATTCAAAAGGGATTTCACTATTAGGTACGTCTACGATACCTGTGATCAGCAGTATTGCCATTCTAAGGCAGCCACATTGACTTGACCATCATGTCTGTCGTAGCGTCGAGAGCGCATGCGCGCCTTAGCGCCGAGAATCCGCGGAGCTAGGGATAGTATGTTGCTGTACTCTTGAATTGATAATATAAGGATAAATCAATAAATCATGTAATAAAATGTAAATCTTTATTTTTCGTAGTGATAAAGAGTGTCGTTGCTAACTCTTCCAAGCAAGGGACGGGGGATGCTAAGGAGCATTTTTAAAGGGGGGCTACTCTCTGTCTTTCTTCATAACGGAACTCAAACTAATTCTCATAAAACTCCCGGCTCCCCGTCTCTGCTACACATAGGCTAATGTTTAAGAACACAACACAGTTAATTGTCAAAACTACCACTACATTTAATATTTCCCTTATTAAGGACACAATAATTGATTATCGTTATCCGCCACTTTTTTACTGTGAAGAAAATATGTTGCTTGTCAACTATTGGGGCAATAATAGATAAGTTTAAACCAAGCTACAAGTCTTTTCCAATTTTCATCGCCAAGTGCCCCTTTAAATAAAGTAGAAGATTGTTCTCAGTATGCTGACAAATTATATTGTTTTTTCAGATCTTAATTTTCTGTGGAGCAGTGGATCTACCCTTAGATCAGGGGAAGTCTGGAAACTACTTTTCCTTTCATCAACGCTGGCCATTGTTAAATCATTTGTGTAAAACCAAGTAAACATTGACACTTGTCTTTAGCTTGTTTTATTTCTTCATTACTCAAGAAAGTATCTTAACATAGTTTCTTCATTCCTAATCCTAATTTTTCTTGCGTAATCTCAACCTATTGTGTCCTTCTTTTTCCGCTTTTTCTATTTTCTATTCACTTTTTTTCTTCTTCTTCTTTCCCTTTTTCTTTCCCTTCTTCTTTCTTCCTTTCGTTCTTCCCTGCATTAATTATTTCGTTTCACTCTCTCGAGGTTATTAATTGATTGAACTCCTGGTCCTGAAGAAATAAGAATATTTCACCAACCGACCAATTGTTCTCGCTGTAATTATTTTCGTTTACAATAGGAGTCCAAATGACATTACACTTTGGAAGAAATAATTTATAATTGTAATAGGATTTAGTGGAGTCCTATTCGGTGTCCCTGTAATCATATGAAGAATATACGAAATTGGATGAACACGTATAGTGGGAGTCCAATTTGTTTACTCCTCATATGATTACCGACAGAATTGGATGACAGCCAGTCCTGTTACCAATGAATCATACCTAATACCAATTCCRAGAAAAATTTTTTTTTTGCGATAAACAATGCTAACCCGCAAATTGACATATTAGAAAAAGAAAAAGAAAAAGAAAATTTAGTGAAAAATCTGATGAGTGCGTTCTCGATGGCATAGCGATTCGCGATCAAGCGTGTATTTTACCGAAAAGGTGCAATGCGATTCGCTCTTGAGACTGTCCAATGACATTGCCCGATTACATTAACTCGATGGGTTATCAAGTATAACATGTAACGACGAGAAAACAATTTTAGACAGAAAATCCTCAAGTTTGGTAAAAGCTCTYGTCATCCAACTCAGCTCCGGGGAAAGGAGAGCCCTTGTTTCCCCTCTCTCCCCGCCGCCCTCTCCAAGAGAGCGTGATTCAGGTTATTTCAAACCAGGAATGTACAGCTCCATTTTGCAGATCGCTTAACTGTTAATACTGAATATTAACAAAAAAGTAGACATCCTTTCTAAAAAAAAGAATAAAAATCCTCATTTTCTTTTCAGTCATTTGTTAAAAAATATAATAAAAAGATCTAAGGCTAGAGGTAAAGAAGAAGAAAAAATAAAGTACTCTTATTACGGTGGGAATCGAACCCACGTTCACCAAAAATTAGTGCCTTCATGCCATACCCCTAGACATCCGCTGGGTCATCGTATGGACTTCGGACATGACGGCGATTAAGTCCCTCTGCCCTTGGGTGTACGGATTACGCAGGATAGTGTTCTAGCCGAAGCATCAGGGGAGAGACTAGCCGGCCCCCAGACCATATCTACAGCTAATCCCTTGCACTCTGCCACGCACTGGCACGTTGATTTGAAGTGAGTAAAAAAGAAGTCTATCTGATTCTTTGTTGTCATGGCTATTGTTGTGCTAATTTCCTGAAATCGTGGCTCAGTGGAAAAAACTTGGGCTTMCAAGACACTGARTCAAGCACGTTTGAGTGAGATTAGTACTTGGATGGGTGACCTGATAATTACCCAACTTTTCGAAATAATTTTTKWTTTTYTTTWTYTTTTTTTTTTTTTTTTTACTTCTTTTTTATATGCAAGAATAGATATAGACATTATTAAAAAAATTTTCCCGCTAATCATTCCTGTCCACCAAAATGCTTTAAAGTCTAAATATATAAATTTAGGCACTGCCTAAAAGCGGAGCTCCCAATGGGCACAATATAATCGGGAAAAAGTCTTCAATAACTTTTTTATGCGAGGTGACAATTATGTTTCCCAAAATGAAAAACGTGGAGTGAAAAAAATGAAATTAAAATTCACTACATCATTTCCTTTGCACAAGTTTTAAACAAGCACCAGAACATTGCATGGACTTTCGAAGATGTAAACAAGACTCAACTATTTGTTGCTATAGTGATTTGAATCAATGCTCTGATTGGTGGATTAAATTGAAAGCAACAAAATGATTGGCCAATGAAACTTTCACATTACAGGTGTCCAGATCCAGACTCGATTCTTAAACTATGAAAAGGCTTATTCTGTTTTCTTCCCGAAAGTTGTTATGTACGAAAAACCACGTTTTTTTCTTGTTCGTGCAAAACTATTTAATTGACCTATAGCAATATGGTTGGTCTTAACAAAACTATTACCTCCCTTCTGCCTGACTATGAACTCAAAACAATGTTGTCTAGTAACATTGTGCAGGTGGAAAGAAGTTCTACTTTCACTTGAAACTTTATCAGTGTCGCCATAACCATTTAAGTGATATTACATGGCGAAATATTAGCAATTAGTAAAAATACACAGATATCACACGATAATCACCTCCAGCGATAATCCAAAATAGTGGCCAGCCGCTTTGTTGCTGTTACAGGGAAAAAATGTCTTTAATCTTTAATCTTTTTTTTTGTTGAAAGAATCACCTGTGTGTTTATACTAAAACAATTATTTGCCTCAGCCTCAGAGGATATCGGAGAATATTTACCTCGCCGGTCGAAGACTCGCGTCTCGGTAAATATTCCCCGATATTCACTTCGCCTTCGTCAAATAATTGTTAAATATTGACACAACGTTTTCGCTTAACTTAAGCTTGTTAATTTTATGGAGGCTAATTGTGCCAAGTTTTACAAACCAAACTAACACAAGATTGTCTCAATTCCTTACATCTCCAAAGATGTAACAGAGGATTCAAGCAGGAATTCAAAAACAGTAAAGTTGCAGTATATTCCCATGCTATCATTAGCATTGCATTACGTCCTTGTATTGCAATAGCAATGACCACGCCGACAAAAGGAATATAACACAAAAACAAGCAAGATACGATGATCAGCAGAGTTTTTATTGTACGTTTGTGTTGGGCACTTTGAACGAGCATGGACTCTTGGATGCTATGAACCTGTCGGTGATGAGTCTTCAAGGTTTTTATGGAAATGAAATAAGAAACCATAATTACCAGTAGCAGTACAAACATTAAAACAGCTGCTATTCCCATGTAACTTGGTTTAGTCGCTTGCAGTCTCCCTAAAGTTACTGCTAAAGCACTTACCATACACCCAGTAAGAAACTTTAACACGGTCTTCGCCGTTACAACTTGGTTGTATCGAGTTCGTAGTCGGATTGCAAGATATCGATCGATACTAATCATAGTTACAATAAAAAATGATGGACTACAGATCATGTGGGCCAGAATGTTTCCAGACTTAAGCAAGCTGCAGTAAAAATCTTGTCGTGATAAAATGAGAGCAACTTTCCTCGCAATGAACAGCGGTTGTAATAAAACCCCAACGCCAAAATCGGTAAAAGCCAACGCGCAAATGAGTAAATACGATGGCTTACGAAGAGAAGGATTTCTCAGGATACAAAGAATTAACACCAAGTTGAACAGCGTCGTTGGAAGCATCAACAAGCCGTTTATGATACAAACTAGAACATTAGTAGAATAGTCGAAATTGTGGGCGTCCTTGTTATGAGATATTGTTAACCTTGGGCATAGAACTTGTTGTGTAGTTGAGTTCATCATGATGATCCGATCAGCAAACGAATTTCGATATCAGATTTCGACTTTTAGTGACTATAGCTAGAGTGCAATAAAGATTTCAAAGCCAAAAGTAATAATTTCAAAAATACAGTACATTTTACACCTGTTTCATTACCTTCCCAATAAATATTAGCAAATACGAATTTTCTCTTTTAATTAAAGCTAGCACCTGTTTTTAACTACTAAAGCAATGGGTTATGAATAAACCAAAAATCCGAGAGCCAGGCGTATAGACGTTTTGATTACCTTCATTTTTATGAGTCTACCAACAAATCAGTTTTTACACGCACTCATTTATTTGAATACTCAACTCTGCTTTTTGATTACAAGTTACGTCATCGCGGCCATGTTGGTGCCATTTAAAAAAGACTTCTCAGCATTCATTGTTAACGGCATGTTATTGTCTTTTGAATCTTTATGCTAGCAACCCATCAGTTTTTACAGCATGATATGTGTATCATCTGAATTTTATCCAATAAACTATGAGCACAAAACACACACACACAGTCACATGTTTGTAAGTTATTTCCCTAATAAACGTGTGTTTGTATACACTTATTTCAATAACGTTAGTCAACAAAAACCTAGAAAGCTGAGATCGCTGAGCATCATGGGAAACTTTACATATCAAAAAAGCATATACACTTATTTCAATAAAGTAAGTCACCTGAAAAGCTACAAAGGTGAGACCGACAAGGATTATGGGTAGATACATATAAATGATTCAACCGCTTGACAACTGTTGATGGGCTTGCACATATTTTACCAGTTACAGTATGACTTTTTCTGAGCATCCTCAAGCTGCAGTGCTAGTGTGTGTCAAAAAAGCTTTACTTGTTTGATATGTAAAGTTTCCCACAATCCTCAGTGACCTCAGATTTCAAGGCTTTTGGTGAGTAACTTTATTGAAATAAATATTAGAATATTAGATAATAGAATAACATCAATTATAAGTCTTAGATGCTTTTATTCAGCTTTCAGTTTTCCTGTGTAACTTTAACACTAAATGTGAAAATTACTTTCTAACTGCTTCACTAGAAATGTTACATGTTCGCGATAAACAAGAGGAAAAGAAAAAATGATTGAAAAAAGTGTTTGAAAGGTTGAAAATGGGAAACATCTTTATAAGGGTAAGGGTAAAATGAATAGATGGGAAAGGAATGGGTACACTATTTTGTGAGTTTAGGATGAGTTTGTTGCTGATATAAGAAAGTAAGATTTTCAAGGATTGAGAGTTAGCTTAATAAAGAATCCGTCGTTCAGGGACTATCGTCACCCATGCTTAGATCAGCAGCTGAAATAAAACACACAAAAAACAGTCATCAGAGTAACATACGTATCGAGGTTGCGCGAAAAACTGGTAACGAGTACGACGTGCGCTGAATCATGGGACTGCTTTAGGAGGTGCCAAATACATCACAAGATAACGTTTTTGTCACGTGACCTGTTAGCAAGGCCGCGTACGAGAGAATATGACCTCAGAAAAAGAATCCCTGGGCCCCATAATGAGCACTCTTTGATGCTATTTTTTAAATATTTGTTGCTATTTTTAGAATCAATTATTTTATCGTTTGTTTTTGCACGCGCGTGCTGTGCGCGCTCTATCCTATGAGCTCATTTTTTCTTTTGGTTTTTCATGAAAAAAGTAAGCAAACGGCGTAGAGAGAGCACAGTGTGCGCGTGCAGAAAAACAAGCAACGGCAAATGTGAATCTAAATAGCATCAAACGGTGAGACCAGAGATTCCTTCTCTTAGTCCATTTTCTTTTGCCGCGTATCATTCCCACGTGAATATTTACCCTTGCATCTTTGTGTTGCCGTGTCGTATGAGTAGCCTTCCAAGCAATAACACTGGAAGGAACCAGCATCATTCAGGCATGCGCTGCCTTCTTCACAGGGATTGTTTCTGCACTCATCGATATCTTAACATGTATATAAAAAAAAATTGAATTGGATCAGAAACCGGTCGATCTGTGAGTTAGCCGTGAGAAATCGTTGCAGGGTGTCGATAAAATGTGAGTCTTAAATTACATATGTCAAGAATAGACAATATCAGGAATAAACAATGTTAAGTTAGAATAGACAGTCTGAGATAATCTTAGTCGTCACCTTTGCATCCGCTAACCACATCTCCACTGCCTGTAAACCCAGGTGGACATAAGCAGTAGAAAGATCCAATCTTATTGATGCAGGTGGCACTTTCATGGCATCTAGCTTTGCCAGTTGTGCATTCGTCTACATCTGTAATAAACAAAGAATTGAAAAGTCATCACGTGATGTTCACGTGCCATGTTGGAGGACATGAATGGGTGCTCTCAATTCTTAAACCAATAGCCCATGCGGCCGAATCCCATATGGACTATTGATTCATAGGCCATGAGGACGAGAGGACTTATCATTGTCTTAGTCAAATCCAACTAGTCGGTCAAATTTATAGATGCAAACAAGTTTCGACTTTGGTTTTCAAAGCCGGCACTTTTCGCTACTAGTAGGCTATAACTTATAGTTTAGTACTAGCTCATCCAATCAGAACGCAGCATTGATGATAGACCACGAGCTGGATTTGACTAAATGGTTTTAGCTTTGTTAAGTTGCATATTCTTCAGATAATTCCAATTGATCGGAAGAAGGCTCTGTTGTCTAACTTATAGTACCTTCACATTTYCCGTTCACATTCATGTAACCCTCATCACATTTGGTGCATTCATACGATCCAATATTATTCTTGCAAATAGCGTTAGCTCCACAAATGGTAAAATTAGAGCATTCATTAATGTCTGACGAGGCAACCAAAATCACAGTTAAGATACTTGTCGAAAGTGTGCGGCTTCAGACAGGCAAGCAGGCAAGCAGGCAAGCAGGCAAGCAGGCAAGCAGGCAAGCAGGCAAG